ATTATAAAATTTGAATAATTCTATAACATTGCAAATATATTTTTTTGTATACTCAGCCCTAAATGTGTACACAACTTTTAATTTATGATGTCCAAAAATGGATCCATTTTCATCATATAATTCAGCATAAACATGGCATATTTATTCTTTTTATTCACTCATACCAGATGACTGCCAAGAGAGACAAAAATACATAGCATGATTAATATAGCAAAATGACTTATTGTTTTCACTTGATCATCATTTTATTACGCTGTCACATGTAGGAGTGACTTTATACACAGGTCTGGCTCAATGAGTCAATTTATTGGATTTCCACTAGGCGGAAATACAACTGAATGTAACACAATCTTACTGTAACTATAACATTTCCTAACTATGAACACTGAAGGTTACTGTAACTACATCACATAAAATGAAGACTTCACTTCTGACTTGTGTGTCTGATTTCTGGTTATAACTGTTAGGCAGCCATGACAGCATACACTGCCTCAAAGGGTGTCGCTTTGTGTATTACTCTTTTAACACTTCGCGGACCAGTGATTTAAATATTTAAATCACCCTGGGGACTGACATTTTTAAACATACTACCCTAACTTGTGCACTGTTCACTTTAAAAATTAATATAAAATCTCCTAATTAATTTTTTGAACTAAAATTTTTGGAGAACACTTACCAATGCTCCTAGAAGTGCTTGAGGGTGTGATATTTCTGGAAACTTTCCCCTTTGTGAAGTGGCATTACACAGAACTTGCAAATGTAGACATACTCCTTTTCTTGTGAACTGTGCAAACATGGCATTGCCTAGAAGTATTCTTCCCCTTGGAATGTTCACTCTTCACAATTTTCCGCATATCACTCAAGAGTCGCCGTGGGGGGTCCAAATGAGGCCTTCGTGGGGTGGGAGTTGATGGGCCCGGTCGTACTAAGTCTTTGTGTGACCCTGGTTCTGCCGCCACGATCTGGACTGTAGTCCAGGCCTTTGCCACACTCATCAGAAATGCTTTGTGCGTGTATTTCAATTTTGAATCAGGGTTTAGATTTTTTTTTCAGATTTTTTGCTGTCCCCACAATATTACTACACGCAATGTTATTACCCGCATTATCGTAAGAGCTACTGTCACTTTTACTGTCTGTGGCCACAATTCTTTGTTGTCCCCCATCACTGTCGCTGTGTGAATGACAATTAATCCATTACTATGCGTCTCACAAGGCAGGTCAGCTAGGTCATCGGAGGAGAATTTGTCCTTGATCTATTCTCCCCACTAGCTACACAGTAGCTGATACACACAGCTTGAAGAAGGCAAAGCATTTTCCATTACAGTCAGTTAAGTAAACAGCGAGGTCAAGTTTCTGACTGCTAACTAAACATTCCAGAGTCTTATCACGCATCTGCAGGTGGTTGCGTGCAATGTAGGTGGCACCACAGCGATGTATTGTGTGTTGCAACTTACCGTGTTCTAAAAGCCTGTTAACACGCGAACGGTCTGCCACGTTTAAAAGCGAAAAACCTTTTAAAGAGTGCGCAGTCCGCAAAGTGTTAAGAAGCCATTACTGTGAAACCTCCAATTCATTTGTGTGGTCGCTGGATTTCAACAGTGAAAGAGTGAACCATACTGTGTAGCAATGGACATATATCCTTGAATGCTTGGGAACGTGTTTACTTACTCAATTCATAGAAATGGCCAAATCTGTCAAATACAATAATCAAATGCCAAATCCCCAAATCTATCAACAACAAACATGGGAGAAAGTTTATTTTCTTTACTTTCCCACTAACAAAATAATTCTAGCAGGTAAGAATCTGTGTTCACCTCTTCTGATGGAAGTCTATCCCCCTCCACTTCAACAACCTTCTGACTCCCACTGCCCCATCTACTAACATATGAGAAAACTTCTGTTTTTTATTCTTTTTGATTTGTGGCTTCAGATCCATTATACTAGAGCAAACAAGACTATAAACAAGTGAGAACAGCACACTAACAGAATGATCACAACAAAATAGGGCTGGAATGTGCCAGGATTAATGTTCATAAAAAACACCCTAACAAACCCCATGGCATGAAAACATAACAGGGGTCTATATGCAACAAAAAGTCATAACTCCTGTAAGTTAGCTCTAAATAATGGGTATTCTGGAAACACAATATTGCACTGCACAGATGACTGGACCATGCATTTGCTGAAATAATAATACTATGCATGACCAATAATGATTAAGGTAAGTATAAGTTGGTCCCATCACTAAGCGCCACACATGAAGATAATACTTTAAACATTCTAGACCTTGGTACTAAATGGAGGTGGTAGTCAACTTCACATCCCAATGGCTTTACCATAAATATTACTTGGTATCATTTACCAGACGGAAGGTCCTTTCCCTCAATTATCATGGATAATTCAGGATATACCACATGTAGAGAAAAGCATATAGAATCTATATAACATTATCTGGGATTTAAACACTACGTGCCTCCCAATTAATTTATGAAACAGATGCATATCATAATAGTACAATATATCAAGGTCAGATACCTTGCTTTCATTAGTTGAGTTCTGTCTCATGGAACTCAATATAACATCCAGTTGTTGACTGATGAACTGTGTATCAGTGGTATGGCAAACTATAACAGCTAGGCATTTGAACAGCATGCCTCGCTCCTCTGGATAGCTTTGATAAAGTGATGACTGCTCCATTAGCTTCACTCCCAGACCAACTGACCATTTTTCTTCATCCACCTCAGTCAGAGTTTCTGACAGAAACTGAAGAAGATGATCTTCCCAAACCCGTTCATCCCAATTGTCTTTACAACCTGTGAAACACCATGGTTTGTACATCACACTAGTCTCTTATCACCCAACTAAATAACTTCATGGAGCTGAGCCCTTCTTGCGAAGCAACCAGTTGTGCAGCTACTCAAAAATTCCCATCATTTTATTGAACCCAAAGGATCATTACTGTGTTCACATGAGCCCTCCACTGGTCCATATCCTCGGCAAGATCAATCCAGTCTGCACCACCCCATTCCATCTAAGACACATTATAATATTATCCACCCACCTACCTCTTCATCTTCCTAGTGGTCTCTTTCCCTCTGGTTTTCCCACCAATATCCTATATGCATTCCTCTTCTCTCCATTTGTGCTACATGCCCTGTCCATATGATCCCCCTTCACTTGATTATTCTAATTATACTTGGCAAAAAGTTCAAGTTTTCTCCAACCTCCCATCACTTCATCCCTCTTCAGTCCAACTTTCTCCTCAGCGTCATGTTTTCAAAAACCCTCAGTCTATGTTCCTCCCTTCCACACCCATACAGACACACAGGCAAAATTAGCCTTGTATATTCAAATTTTTACATTTTAGACAGCAGACGAGGAGAGAAAAGGTTCTGCACTGAACGCTAACATGCATTACCTGAATTCGATCTCCTCTTAATTTCAACCTGAATCAAATTTTGATTTGTCCAGCTAGTGCCGAGGTCAAGAAAATGTGGATCTATACAGCCACTACCCCATACACCTTCACAACACAGTGCTTAATTCGTTGAGCACAGGGAGAACTTTTAAATTTTTACTGTCATTCCCAAATATTTGAAGAGTGCCACATTTTCAAATGATCTGTTAGCTATCTTTGTGTCATAATTTTGCCCTGCATTCTGGTGATAAGACAGCAAACATATACTTAGCTTTCTCTATGTTTACTTCTAGGTAAACTCCTTACTAGCATCAATTAAAGTTTGATTTTCCTTTTATACTACCTTCATTTTCTCCCAGTAGATTCATATCATCAGAACAGACCAGAAGCTGACGTGTTCCATTTAATTTTAGTCAAACCTGGGTTTCCTGAACCTTCTTAAAGGCATATTCTAAAGCAAAACTGAAAAGCATTGGTGATAAAGCATCTCCCTGTTTTAGGTCAACTCTCATTTCTTCTCCAGTATCTGACAAATGCAAAAATTCCACTCAGAATTGATGTCTTACACCAAAACCCACACTGATGATCCCCAATAATTTCTTCCACATATGGACTTAACTGTGAAAAAAGGATATTGGATAAAAATGTGTATGATGTTGATAGCGGTGATATCCCATGATAATTACTACGGTCAGTTTTATCACCCTTCTTGTAAATTGGTACAATAATAGACTCCTTCCACCAATCAGCAAAAGTAAAAAAGTAAAGGTATCTCAGTAACAGGCCGTGGAGACCCACAGGGTTGTGAGATGTTGAGGTTCCCACATTTTCTAGACAATCGGCTCATAGATGGCGGCAAGGTTGTCAGCCCTATGTGCCAGCTGCCCTTGACCCACAAGAATATTCCTGGTACTCATTTCTGTTAAAGGCTGAGTTAACCCCAGGGTCACAGTGTGGCTGGAAGGATTAGGTCACCTGCAAAAAATCCAATGACCTCATCAGGACTTGAACCTGCGACCTTCTGGCTTGCAGCATAATGCCTCAACCAACTATGCTACGACATTCCCCCAATTATACCTTATTCCAAATAAAATTAAGGAGTTTATGGATCTTAGACCATAATCTTTCACCCCTTGCTTGAAACAGTTCTGCTGGAATTTGGTCACTACCTGGCGATTCATACCTTTTCAACTTTGCAATAGCAATTTCAACCTCAAATGTATTAGGAACAGGTACTAACAACTCGGCTATATGTATTTTTATCTGCCTAACATCACTCTTTACTCTCTACCTCATTTAATTACTTGGGAATTAACCTCTCCATATGAAATCTGTGCATTATTTGTTTACTCACTGCCAGTCTCTCTCTAACTTCTGCCACCACCAGATAGTGGTTAGTACAAGGTGGTTCAAATAAGACTGGAACTGATTTTTTTTTAAAAACCATAATTGCCAAACACTTACTTGCACATGTCAGTCTTCAACGTACTCCCCTCCAGAGTCAACACATTTTTTCCAACGTTCTGGAAGCATCCTGATGCCCTTTTCAAAAAAAGGCTTGTGGTTGGCGGCGTATCCACTCCTGAACAGTCTGGATGACAGCATCGTTGTCCACAAGCCGCATGCCTTGCAAGTCTGATTTGAGCCTTCTGAACAGGTAATCACTTGGGACCAAATCGGGACCGTACGGCGGATGTGTCAGAAGGTTCCATTTCAATTTCCGGAGGGTTTCCATTGTTGTTTTGGCTGTATGGGGGCATGCATTGTCTTGAAGGAAGGCTACCCGCTTTCCACCTCTCTTCCGCTTGGATCGGATCATTTCCTTCATGTCTGCTGCCAGGAGGTCTGAGTAATAAGCTGCATTGACTGTTCTGGCATCTGTCAGAAAGTCTACATGGATAACTCCCTGCCAGTCCCAGAAGAACGTTGCCATTACTTTTCCTGCCAAACGGCTGCTCCGTGCTCTCTTGGGTTTGGGAGAACTGGTATGCCGCCACTCACGTGATGACTGCTGGGACTTGGGAATGAAGTAGTGCACCCACATTTCATCAGTGGTCTCTATAGACCTCAAAAATGCATCACCTTCATCTTCAAACTGCTGTAGGAGACGACTGGCTGCTTGCATGCACACCATTTTGTTCACATCCATCAAAGTGCGTGGTACCCACCGTGCATTCACCTTGCAATAGTGCAGGTGGTATTTCACGATGTCTTCTACACTACCAACACTAATGGACAGCATTGCTCCAAGTGTCTTGATAGTAATGTGCCTATTCTCACAAATAAGTGCGTCTGCACAATCAATGTTTGGCTCGGTGACGGAAGTCCGTCGCCGACGATCATGCGGTTCATTCTCCACACGCTATCTACCCTCTCTGAAACACTTACACCACTCAAACACACAGGTCCATGAGAGACATTCTTCCCTGTACTGTTGTTGGAGTCTGTGGTGAATTTCAGCAGACGGGACATTTCCTCCGAGGAATTTGATCACAATGCATTGTTCCACGCTCCACGGTACCTTCTGTTCGCTCATCACTCTAGCAACTCCCAGACAGGACTGAACAGGTTCTAACCCTAACAGGAGGGAGGGTGGAGGTTGTGGCTTCACTCTTTCGAGGTTGCACAGCTGCTGCGCATTGCGGCTTGTTTACACAAAAATCAGTCCCAGTCATATTTGAGCCACCTTGTATCACAATCTGCTTCCCTGAACCATCAGATATCAAAAACATTTGAATACCATCTCCTATCTATCAAAATATGGTAAATTTGATTGTGAGTCTACCCATCAGATGTCCAAGTAAATTTATGAATGTTACAATGTGAGAACATTGTACTTCAGACAGATTTTTGGATGTGGCAAAGTTTATTACTAACTCCATCATTATTACCAACTTCGTGTAAACCTTCATTCCCAATTATTGGTTCGAAAACGTCTTCCCTATCTACTTCAATGATGAAATCTCCTAACAAAATTGTCATGTGGTATTTAGGGAATTTATTAAATACAAGTTCTAGTTCCTCGTAGAAGCTGTCCTTCATATCACTTATCTTCTGTTGGGGTATGAACATGCAGAACAATATCGCACAAGCACCCTCTTAATATCACAACATTCTATCACTAACAAACTCTAACCTCTTAACTGACAATATGATTCCTTATGTACAAAAAGAAACCCATGCTTAATGCACTATTCTCATTCCTGTTTTCAATAATTTGTAGCTGAGAGAAGCAGACTTGGAATGAGTGACAGAATCTATATTACAGTTGTTCAAATAAACTAAATTTTAAGTACTGGCCCAACAGATTAATGACTGACATTGTAGCACCATTTGTATTTCTTTTCTTTCTTTCTTAAGTTTAAAATTAAATTATTTTGCTATGTGCTTAAAGCAATAATTACGTTCAGGTGAACTACAAACTCGTTAATACTGTGGAGGAAGCATGCCATCAAATATGGATCAAAACTAATAATTATCTACATTTCAAGTACCGTCAGAATTCATTCTTCCAAAATGCTCTGCAGATGGCGAGACACAATGAAGCAAATAGATATTTAATTTCACAAAACTTTTCTTTTTAAGGTTATTTAACAATACTGTACAATCTTGAAGGTTATTTAATATCATAAAAAGTAAGGACAATTATAAAGAACGCTTAATGGTCATGGTCTAGTATACAGTACCATCCTGGATCTTGTCTAGAACAACTGAGGAAAAGCATGGGATAGCTAGTTCCTTGGTCAAGATTCAAATTAGGTCTTCCTGCCTGCTTGATTCCTATTTATACAGGAACTAGAGAAAATTACAGAACGTAAGTAACTGTAAATGGATTTAAGTGTAGCCATGAATATAAGCACACTGACACTTCTTCTAACATTCATACATTTCTTTGGGTTTGCTGGAATTTACATTCTCACAACAGTTCTTGCTTCGCTTACTCTTTGATCCTGAAAATGATGGCAATATGTTCCTCTGAAACATCAGCTGACTTTCACCAAACTACATGGTATTATATTCCTGATGACAGATCTTTTCTTTGGCCCATGTCATTTTCAGTATTTAAGACTGAAAAAATTAATAACTTACGATCAATGTGACAGACTAGCTCTGGTATCTTCTTCTCCCACAGCGGTTTCAAATGACGACTGACATTCAAAACATAATTCCTGAGGAACTGAAGGATGTAAATCCCTCTGCCAGACTTGAGTGGACAACCCAGTAGCGCCAGACAACGACCCAGTATAACATGTGGACCTATCACCTCTTCTGTACAAAAATATAAAACACACAAATTTCAACATATCAAAAACCCTCATTCTAAGGAACATACAATTCTTTGGTTAATACTGACTTTAAGTGTGTCTAAAAGTAAGCACATACCTAGCCATTACAGCACCAAGATTGATTATGTAACATCTGAAGCTTTCACAAAGAATAAACCTTCTCTAGCATTCAGTCATGTCAATATCGAACCAAAAACCAATGTTCCAGAGATCTCCTCAGTCTCCAACACCAGGGTCAAACTTCATGGTGGAGACCAACGAAATCTCTGAAATGTTGGTTTTTAGTTCAACACTAACACAGTTGATTGCCTGAGATTTTAGCAAAAGACTGATTATGCTAACAATAACAAAAGTTATAAAATGTGCCAACACCATTAAGAATAATCCTTCAAATTCAATACATACTCCATTTGAATTTCTGCATGCAATTATACTTTTGTGTACAAATCCATAGATGCCAAGAAATATAAGTGCTACGAAAGTGAAAATTAAATACAGTAGCAGTGAATGCTGTGCTCGGAATACTGGAGCTAAGAAAGATGAAGAAACAGAAAAACAATAATGAGGAACTTCATAATTTGTACTCTTTAGTAAACATTACTAGAGAGGTCAAATCAAGCACGAGGTTGATATAGTAAACACGGGAGAGATGAGAAATGCATACAAATTTTGGCTGAAAGACCTAAAGGACACAGGACCCTTGGGAGACCTAGGCAGAGCTGTGAGGACAACATTTCACAAATCTTAAAGAAATAGTGTGTTGGTGCATGAGCTGGATGAAACTGGCTTAGAACAGAACGAATTAGTGTGCTGGTGTGAACATGGCAGTGAACTTTCAAATTCCATAAAGGTTTGCTTCTCAAGAAGGGATCTGCCCAATGTAGTCAGTTAGCAACTGTTTTAACACAGCACTTCCAAAATGAAACACTGTAGGTTTTTCTGTGTCTATGCAAAAACCCATGTGATGGACCTTCTTAATCTCACTGCAAGATGGATGTGAGAGATCTGCTTCACATTCCTGCTACGTTGTTTTTTTTTTCCTTTCTTTGGGGTTACAGTCCCAATTTGGGCCTTGGCCTACCTCCATGAACCTCTTCATTTCACTTCGGTTTACTAGACCTTAGACATTCGGTGGGACTCCTTGGAAAGGGGATCAGCTTGTCACAAGGCCTCTACCTGCACGCACACACATGCACATACACACATGAGCGCGCACACACCAAATATCCATGCCCTAAGTGGGATTTGTACCCATGATCCCGGCTTCAAAGCGAGCGAAGACACTGAATGCCTTAGGCTGATCAGCTACCATGACCTGCTTTCTGCCACCTTACCCCTGATAATAAAGCAACGAATACCTTATGGCCAGGAAACTGAGCCATTCTGGATGTAGTGGCTATGAGAAAAAGTCTGACCCTTTTGGGAACCAAACCCCAGTTTTCAGATCATAGCCAGTCTTTTCGGTGGCTGGGCTACCATGGTTCACATACTTAGTGGGAGAAAATTAAATAAAAATTGCATGGCATTATACAGGGCTGTTGGAAACTACCAATTAAATGATAATGCATAGTGCGAGGTATAACAGCTATGCCAGTGACTTACGTATCAATTTTGCAGAGCTCTCAGTGAAGTTCAGTTGGTCCTTCCTTTTTGTTGCAAGATATACTAGACAGCGTGCAATATGAGAGCATGCCGGAGTGTACTGACTTGCTAGCAGACAATGAAGCAACACTGGCCACAGTGTGTTTTCTATGTGTGGAACTGTGGTTGCCAGGAGATAGAGAGTGTTTGCACAGGTCCCTTGTAGTTCCTCCAGCAAGCTACTATTGTTTAAGTCTTTCCCAACCTGACAAGCAGAAGCCATAAAACATATTAAAATTTCTACACACAAATCCTACACATCATGTATAATTTTCAAATGTATTACAGTTAAATTTAGGTACTTACAACTGATGCTGGATGAGGACAACAGTGTTTCACAATAAATTCCACACATTCTTTCCCTTCAGTACCATCCAAATATCCATGAGAAGCAAAGGCAACTATAGCCTTCAAAAGCACTTTCTTCACCTAAACAAAATTAATTTTATTTTCAAAGTCAGATCCTTAATAATACAATATCATGCACAGTGACACAAGTCTGTTAACTTCTAGATTAACAGAAGAAAAAAATCCAACATGAGAAAAACAGCCCTCTGCATCAAAAGTTACAATTTTAAAAGTTTACATCACATAATATACACAAAACTGTGCTCGCCACATTAATTACTTGCATAATGGCAGTACCATTACTATCTATGAATTGATTAAAATCATAATTACAGGTAGGACAAAAAACACACATAGAAGAATATTCTTAAGGAACTCTGTGGAACCATAATAATGTGTTTTTTTTTATTGCTAGTGGGGTGGGACTAAGTCCCTTGTACTGTGGCCAATTCTGGCCTATTGTACCAGCCCCAGATGATAAGTGAGGGTGATTGTGGAGCAATTGGTGGAATGAAGATTGGCAGGGGAAACCGAAGTACTTGGAGAAAACCTGCCCCAGCGCCACTTTGTCACCACAAATCCCACTTGACCAGACCCAGGATTGAACCATTCAGTCATCTTTTTTCTTTCTAGAAGTTAAGAATGAATGAGCTGATGTTTCAGATCAACAACCACCATATTTTGATTGTAGTCCAGAACTTAAACAGGGTTTTCTTTTTCTTCCTCCTGTTTTGTTTTCACCTTTCTCATTTTGTCACTATGATATGCTAAGATCATGGCGACTTTTTTGTCACACCATTTCAGCATAGACACTGGGCCAGAATGCTGAGCTATAACTTCCCCTTTCCTCAGCTTTTCTCCTTCACAATTTTTGGTACATCTTTCCTGTCCAGGTGCAGAGTTCCAAAACAATCAGTTTCAATTAATTTTAGATTTATAGTCAGTGCTGGTGCATTGTAGAAGTTGTCCATCCACAATGTGTGTCCTTTATCAAGCAATGGTTCCATAAGAGACAATACAACAGCTGCTATTTTACTTTCCTCCTCTGATATCAGTGATGACAGTGTCAGCTGGATTCATGGAGGTCATTAAGACCTAATTCCAAATTTTAATGACTTCAACAAAATGTACTGTTTGAAAGACTCATCTGTTGCAATATTCTGGTCTGGTATGTACAAAATTTGAAATTTCATGTTAGACATAACTGGGTACATTTTGAAAAGATATGTANTACACACTGATTCAAATTGGTCCATTGATATTACACAGCCAAATGCAGGAGTTGCCAAAACAGAGCTTTTTTAAAAATATGAGTATAATGTGGGCTTCTCACATATGCCCACAAGAATGAAAAGTGCCAGAACAACATATATCTCATCTTCACTGACAGGTTTCCAGTCTCTCATCCTAGACAGAATTGGTAACGTAACTCCCCTGAATTTTATACGCTGTTTGGCATATATATTCATCTTGTGGATAATTATTTCTATTAGTGCCTGTGTGAAAAACATCTTGAATGCATCCACACCTTCAGTCACATTTTTTGTTCATTTTGAGAGCCAGAATTCCCTATAAATTGTTTCCTTCTCCCTACATAATTAGCCAAGTCCTCCCATGTAAATAATGTAACACAAGCCCCACTCTGCAAAGCACTTGTTGAATCTTGTACACTGTCACTGTCTTCATTCTCACTTTCTTCTATCGCAGCTGCTTCAAGAATGGGCAAATCTTCAGTTACACTAGAATCATCATCTGAATCAAACAAATTACTTTCACTATCAGACAATGTTCCTTCCAGAATTCTCTGAACATCATCACCCAACAAATGCACTCTACTTGTTGATGCTTTTGACTGCAGCAGAAAGCTGCATAACATAAATCTCACTACTCTGAAAGCAGGGGAAACACAATGAAAGCATTCTTCCATCCTGTTTATGTCCTACATCACTTGAAAGCCTGCTACGTCATCTGCAGAACTATAATACTGTAGCATGCTTTGTGTGTCACGCTACAAATAAGTTCACGCCGTTCAGTAGTTCCGTAGAACCCTTTATTGTCCTTCACTTCAACAGCCACAAGTACAATTACTGTTCACTGTAACATCTCAACTGTTTTTCTGCGGAGGATGTTCCGAGACACTCTACTCCGAAGGCTTGGTGACGACTGGCTTCTTAGATGGCTATTCCAGGACTTTCTTCTCCGAAGGACGATCCGAGACTCAAGACTTCTCGTCGAAACTGGGCTTTTATAACCTTGGCCACTGCTAGGCAAATGAATCCTCTGTTTTAGCAGTGGAAACGTTGCTTTGTCGGTTCCGCGTTTCCTACGCAATGACCCATTGTTATTGCGTTGTCTCTGTGGGAACACTTCGCGTATTCGTCGTAACCGTGGAGATTCGGTGTTCCCTACACAACGGCTCACTGTTGGGATTACAGTGCTGCTATTGTTACTTCCTATGTAACGGTCTATTCTAGTGTTTCCATAGAAGCGACTCTTCTGGATTCCAGACACGTTACAATACTTTGTGTATATTTGATATAGGGAGCCACAAATCAAACTGTGCACATCCTCCCAAGATTTATAAGTCACCTTGTAAAACAATAGTAAAGATCGATCAAATAGGTCAATAACATATATCATTTAAAAAACCACAATGTCATCTAAAGAACTACTGAAAACTGTGTTGCTTTAGGCATATTCGACAGAGAGAACCACTAAAAAGAGTATGCATGCAGCAAAGAACAAACAATTACCTCATATTTACATGGAGAAAACAACAGTAAAACTAGATCTAACAGTTCAGTAATACATATTATACTAAAACTTGCAGCTTTATCTATGAGGCTGCTGAGGCCAAAATGCAACTTCATAGGTATTCAACATATAGAAGAAAAGGTCAGGGAGCCGAGTATGCAAGCACAGCTTGGCACTCCATGCCAAGTAGTGATTACATCATGACAAGCACCACTCAGCATTTCACTCTGAGAAGTTAAAGAAGGAGAACAAGAGGGTGCAGAATAGTTTTTTCTGGTGAAGGATAGGGCTAGTGACAGGATCTGGCATATACAGCAATGGACCTTCCACAAAATACGAGAAATTTACTGAATTGCTGGGCAACTATTATCTTCTTAAGGACTCTGCTCTATGGAGTCGGTCAGTGGTCACTCAGCCAGTCACTAAGTGATGCAGGCATAATAATGAATGGCAAATCAGCAAGAATAAAGTAAAAAGAAACTGCACAGTATGGTAAAAAGAAACAAGACAAAAAAAACTTAGCAGAACTGATTGTTTTTGTTAGGATTTACAAAATTTAAGTCTTAGTTTTACATCACACTCCATTAAGAATTTTAGAATATAATAATAATTCTAATTTTGAATCTTAAACAATGTGTTGCAATTATTTCCTTTCTGCACAAATACTGTTCTGCTCCACCCAAAACAATTTCATGCAGCAGTTTAAAAATTCCTGTTTTATAATTTAACAAAAAGATGAAATTACTCTCTGCATTATAACCTCTCTTACCTTGACATTATGTTCTCCCAGCATATTTCTCAAAGCAGTCAGAAGGTTCGCAATCCTGGGGTGAATAAGGTTTTCTGACGAATTCACAAGGTGGGTGACAACAAAAAGGGCCTTAATTCTCTCTCTGTCATTGTTGTTTTTTAGCTGCTGAATCAGAAGTTCAATGACTCTGTCCAGGAAATGGCCCGCTACAAACAACAAGAACAACAATGAACTTGACGATGATGATGATAAACAAACAAGCAAACAAACATTATAATCTGCATTCATTAATGTGCAATTCAACGGTCGTAAGGCTAACTACACAGTTAGCATGATGATGACAGGAGGAGGAGGAGGAAGAGGAGGAAGTTAAACTATGAAAAAAGCTCACAAAAGGTGAAGTTCAACTATTTGGCCCAATAAAGTCATTTAGATAAAAATTCAATTTGCTAAAAATATCAATAAATTTATAAACTGTACTAACAGCAGAACCATATCTGGCAGCAGAACAGATGAAGAATGAGGAACCAATAACACAGAAAAATTCTACATGTTCCAAGCAGGGACACAAATGTTCGACCAAAGGATAAGATTTACTGCCATTATAAACATTTACAGAAATAAAACATCAAAGTTGTGCCACCCAGCACTTTCTCTGCTTATGTTCAAGTTTGTTAGGGCCATCAGTGGTTACAGAATTGCATGCAACGTATGCATATTGAAGAAATAACGTACACCATCAGTAAGTCATCTACGGTGGAAAAATAAAAAGTAATAGCTTGAATTAAACTCACAGCAAAAGAAAATCAATATCTTGATGAAAGTAAAGTTTACATTCAGTACACATTGTTATATCTCTGATAATGTCGGATCATACTTCATGAAAATTACAAACAGTACAATGATTAATCAGTGTGCTCATTTCCTTGAAAGGAGATATATCTTCACTTTACTAATGTTAAGTTTACAGGGTGTAAATAAATATATGTTACAACACTCTGGGGTAGATAGATAGGTTCAATGTGATCATATTTTGTTAACACAGCCATGTCCGGAAACACTTTGTTTACACGCTAGGGCCTCTGAAATGTGAAGGATCATGGTGGTCGCGGTGCAAGGGCCAAGAAGGCCCAACCCTTACACATTCATTCATACATATACATACCTCTTACCTCTGTGGCTTACTGGTGACATTTAACTAACATTTCTCAAAGAGACCTTACCCGAGCTGCTGGAAGCAGTGCCATTGGAAGTCCATTGTGAAATGTGGTTCCAGCATGATGGCTCCCCAGCACACTGCACTAATGTTGTCCGTGAGTATTTGGATGAAACCTTTGGCAACAGATGGATTGGACGTAGATGCCCAATAACCAGGACCCTCGCTCCTTTGACTTGCCTCCACTGGATTTCTTTCTCTGGGATACATGCAAAGCCTGGTACATGAGACTCCAGTGGAGACACAACCGGATCTTGTGGCAAGAATTGCAGTAGCAGTTGGAACCATCCAGAAAATGCCAGGAATCTTTCAAAGAGTTCAGCATAAGATGGCCAAGTGGTACTGAACATGCAATGAAGTCAGCAGTCCCCATTTTGAGCAAATTTTATAATGTAAAACAACAATAACATGCCCTAAAACTTACGCATTCTCTCGGATACTTTTGTGACCCTTAGTGCCAAAAGGTAGGGTTTCCAGACATGGGTGTATTAAAAAAATATGATCAGACTGAACTCATCTGTCTACCACAGAGCATTGTAACATATATTTATTTACATTCTGTATAATTAGCTAAAGACCAGTTGTACACACAGTCAACAACAGACTGCAAAAGCAGACATCACTGGGAGATTTGGTGACATAAAAACTTCCAGGTTAAAGAAAAGAAAATATATTTGGAATTTTAAATTACATCACATAAATTGTTAATAAAAATATATATAAAGCAAAGTTCCCAAAACTGAGCCTCTGGAAATGCCACACAGTACACCAAAGTGACTAAATCATATCCAACATATGTACATAACATAATCTGTTAGTTAAATGGCTAAGGAGCCAATTTAGATAGCCAAAAGTTGATCCTTAACTGATATGCTTCTAGTAAAGCAAGGCATGAGGAACAAGGTCAAAAGCATTTTTTTTCCCCTTGGCACTACAGCCCCAGTGGGCCTAGGCCTAACTCCATGAACTCCGTTCACTTCGGTTTTTCTAGATCTTACACATACAGCAGGACTCCTTGGGCGAGTGATCAGCTCGTCGCAAGGCCTCTACCTGTAGACAAACACAGAAAAATGAATACAAACATCCATGCCCTGAGTGGGATTCGAACCCATGATCCCAGCTTCCGAGCAAGCGAAGACAGTTCATGCCTTAGACCGCTCGGCTACCATGACCGGCGGTCAAAAGCATTACTCCAACCAAATAACAGTAAACTCCCTGTTATCAAGCATGTAAGGAAAATGGGATTTACTAGTTACATGAGTCTGCAGACTGCATGAAAAAAGCTGTTACAGATACCCAATGCAATATCAAAACAACACATTTTCACTTTAGTGCTTGTGGTGCTTCTGTCCTCTTGAGCAAAACGAGAATGCGACGAAAACGTGTTACACCACTTCGCTATCTGGCAGCCACAGATGCATCCAGCAGTGTTGCGAGGCAGCAAAAAATCACGCATGCGCATGAAAGTCCCTTCTACCACTACACTCAGTTTCCCCAACCTTTTGGCCATTACTTACAGCGGGGAAAAAATAAAGTCGGATACTTTTTGGACATACGGTACATATACGGATTGCTAGTGGAAAATTAATATGCTTTAATAACAGCATTCTGCAACATGCATTTGCATAAATGGAGATGCTACCCACCTATACAGTTGAAGCATCGCAGAACTTCATAATGATTCTTTGCAGTCTCAGGTTGGGCATAGTCTGGTGATGTGCATACCTAAATCACAAGAGTGAATTAACATAAAACCTACTTCACTGAAGCTACGATTTTCTTAACTGCACCAACCTTCCTAATTCTTGATGTAGAAATTTCACTCCTCAATTCTATATCGCAACAAATGAACACTCTAAAATTTCCTTTTGTTAAAGATCCATAAGTAACATTCTTTGCCAAAAACTTATTCAAGAGTGTGTCATCATCAGATGGTGCCTTAGGTTATTACATCATCATCAGAAAGTTGCTAGCTCCTATTTTCAACATATGATGGGAGCTGAAATTACCATACCAGAGATCTCAAACATACAGTCTGCCCCATAAGGTTGCCTACTCAAGGTATGATATACCCTCTGAAATCTTTCAGAACAGTTGTACTAAATACTTTACTTGGCTCAAATTTCACTCTTGATATAGGTTTGGTTTCAACCATAAAACAGATTTAGCTTCTAGGAGAGAAAAATATATAACAAACAAAAATGGTATAATTTACTCAAATTATGACCAAACCTCAGTGATTCTGCATCCTTCACCAATCTTTATGTTTATACATACATTTAATACACACATACACTGCTAATAAGGTGTACATCTACTACAGTGAATAATCATAAATTCTACTGCTGACAAAGTGAATCATCAGTCTACATACTATGTACCTAGCATACAGGCACAAAAGATTTCCTGTATCTATCAGTTCACATTCACCATAATCAAAAATGTTTCAGATAAAATATTTTAAGGAAATCTGTGCAACATATTTATCACAAAAGTAAGATTTAAAAATGTTGATATAAATCTGATTTGAGTTTTATATAAAACAGGGATAACAGTGGACTGATAAAAACAAAACGAAATTCATCTTAATGAATTTTAAAATAATATTTCAGCTTAATGTATTTTAATAGAACACTTCAAACAAATACCACTCAGTAGCTCTGGAGATAGACATATGTGACCTCACAATGGACAGATACAGAGGATACATAATTCTATTACAACATGTAAATGTAGTATTAACATTTATACATTAATACAAATTGCAAGCTACTTGCAAAATTCCATGATTTTCATTATAAAAACATATTACAGTACTAAAATTTCTGGTTCCACTAAACAGTTTTCATATAACATTTAGCAGAATATTGAATTACATAATATTCTAATACTCTAGCAACCTGGATGCACACACTTCATTGTAACACTGATGTTGAAAATAACTGAATCATGAAAACTTTTTCCATAAAACATAAAAACAGACTTGGAAAAGTGTATTTTTGACAGCCTATATCTTAATTATAAAACTACAACTTTTCCCACTATTACCAAAAATCCAAATGTACTTACCAAATCAAACATGATATTCTGCAGATTATCCAAAAGTGGTTCCACAGTACTTTTGTTAAGAGAAAGGGCCACATCCAAGACAGCTGAAAGGCATTGTGTTATAGGATATGGATCCACACTGCGTCGGTATAGACCAAGCAGAACAGGAACAAGTCTTGGAACCTGCTCAGTAACTTTCTCAGATGGAAGCAGGGGGAACATCAGACCAATTGCTTGTAATACAGTCTCACAGACCTGTCCAACAATATTTGATTATATAAGAATCCAGATGAAACTATAAACTAATTTCTATTTTTCAGTACAAACGTTTTTAATATTCATTATGACATTAAGAGATGGAAGAAACCAACTCAGTAAATCAACTGGGCAATGGGCTGAACGCCCAATAAGTCAGTGTTTGATTCTCAGCAGGGGCAAGGGATTTTTCTCTTCTCTAATAAACATGCTGGCTCTCAAGCCACCCACCTTCCTATGCAATGGGTGCCATGGGCTGTTCCCCTGGGGGTAAAGAGGCAGGGACATAAAACTGACCACTCACCTCCATACAGTGCTGAGATTAAAAATGGTGGAGCTATATTTCCACTCCCCCCTACATCTTCATGGCATTGTGCTTGCTTAATTAAGAGCAGGCATAACTTTACCTTTACTTTTACTCTTCTAGAAAGAACCCAGTAGCAATTTTGAGATACTATTGCACAACTGAGGCAGGAATGAGTAAAAAAAAATAGTCTAACTCATAATAAAAAGGGTGGAGAGGTGTATTTTATTGGAGTATACATAATTTACAAATGTTCCCATTCTTATTTTGCACCATTCACTGGCCTTCATAATTCATTACAAATATAACTTAGTGGTACAAAGATAACCGGTCAGATATTAAGAAATTATTTTTCCTTCTAATTTACCAAACACAAAAGAATGTTAAAATGAAAGTTGTCAACATCAATGAAATCTGTATTTCTTGTCACGCAGAGAATGGTGAGCCATTTCTGAGGAAATCAATAGAGTCTGATTTTAGTTTCATATAAATTAAGGGACTGAACCAATCCAAACAAAGATTAAATTTGCCCAACAACTTTCATTAAATCTCTTGAAATCCATTCAGTAATTTCTGACACAAAATATTCATGAAATGTTCTTAAGTGTCTGCATTTCTGCTATAGACATTATGAAATGTCTGTTTACATCAAGATCATCTGACACAATAAAATAAACAAACTTCTTCATCTGGGGAAACACCAGCACCTAACTCTACTAGAAGAATCCTTGTAAGAAATTCCCCATTTTGTGTGGAACTACAACCTATAGGTCCACCACTAAATTCACAAAAGCCTATGATTGGAACCTATCTTAGTCTAGCTGAGACAAGTCCACATCCTTATGCCCCATTTCTTTAAGATATATGTTAACAGTGTCCTCCCATCTATGCCTCAGTCTCCCAAGCTGGCTCTTCCCTTCATGCTTTCAGAATACCATTTTGTATGCTTTTCACTTATTCTCCACCTATGCTACAAGTCCTGGTCACATCAAACTTCTTGATTTGATCACCCTACTACTTTCTGTTCTTCTTAAATTCAAGGCGTATTTAGTCAGGTCTATTCTGATTTCCAGTACTTCTGTAAAGCATATAAATATTCAAATTCTTTAGGAGGGGAGGTTACCAGCCTACTCACAAAATCCCTGACCTAGAGGACCATGATATTCCTCCTTAACTGGAATCTCCTCTCCACCTGTCTAGCAGAGGAGACCATAACGATAACTCCACCAGCACTGGTACAGCCTTTGAGAATATTATGATGGCAAAAGATTTTGAACTCAATGACAGCAACAATTACCCACGTTTAAGTTGCTCTTATCTATATACAAATTTCTCAAATACTCATAGCATTCCACAGGAATTATTTATTACCTTTGGTTCCCGGATATGAATCCATGTATTTGCCAAGACATCATAAGCTATATTTATTTCTGATGAAAATGCTTCTTTCTTCACTGTAGGATCTGGAGCATGGTCAATGTTTGCTAAGTACTCAGACACTGCATCACAGAACCTCCCCAGAGCTGAAAAATATAAAAATAACAGTCTCCGCAAAGTTCTGAGACCTTAGGTGAAGTGATTGGTTAGCCAGATCTTTGAAACCAATTCTTGACACACATTTAACAAATAATTCAAGTTCCAAAGTAGTGGTGAATTTCTTGCCTATCTGAGCTACTGTCAGCATGGCTACCTGCTTTTCAAAAGGAGCCAAGTCTACATAGGTAGCTTCATTGCACCACTTTCAAATGTACTTTAGAATTCATCATTTGCCTATATTGTACACTGTATTAAATTCAATTCAAAGAGAACTTCCTTTTTGGAAGAATAAACCACTGTAGTCCCTGAACACACTTAACTTGCCAACTGATGAATAATCTATTGGAGGAGTAGCTTCCTCAGATTAATTCTTTCCTTTTTTAACCCAAATGACAGATGTCCATTTGCATCATCAGGTACAATGAATTATATTTAATTCCTTGCAGCCTCAGTAATTGCTAATGTCTTCACATGTAAACCTGTGTAAGATGATCTCATGTCATCCTGATACTGGTTTTTCAACAGAAGTTTGACACCTGCTGCATCTTCCTATGATATGGTCACATTAACCAAGATATATATAAAGAAACTCTCATTTATGGCATAAAATTGCTACCCTGCATTCCCTGGGTAAATAGAAAGATGAAGTACTCAAGGAAAATTAATGGAGACAGAATGAGCCTAACCCTTGCTGAGGATACCTTTTATATAGATCTGTGTGTCAACTAATGAACACAGGAATATAACTAAAGCAATAATATTGTGACATGTCAAACCGGTGTTGGGCAACAGGATATGGAACAAGGTTACGCAACAGTAAGGAAAGCAGTGTTTGTCCATGCCGTGCCAGGCTGAGCCAAAGCATGCTGGTTGCTACACAGCATTGCAGTAAACATCTCTCGGCGACGTTGCCCAGCAACACCTCTGTAAACACAGCAATTATGTAACAGTGAAGCGAGGTGTGTTTTCTGCTGTCTGACTGAGAGTTTATAAGAGTAACTGGAATGCCTAAGGAGTTCAGTTGAAGTCTAGCAGTCACCAAGTTCAGTTTTAGCGAGTGAATTGTGAACGTGAAGAAGTTATAAGTTCAGTTGAAATATAGCAGCCGCGGGAAGAGGCAGAACCAAATGTGTGGTTAGAAGATTTTATGTGTATAATCAGAGATAGTTTATGATAACTGAGAAGGTATTGGGAGTGTGTAATTCAGTGGCATTTGTATACCTCCCATGTTATAATCTAAATAAGTGAACACTACTGAAGACAGAGTGAAGAGATTAGTGTGTTGGGTTTGTAAATTGTGTAAACCTGTAACAGTGTCATAATTAATTGTAGTTACGACTTGTAGGTTGTTAATAAAACCACTTACCAATATGAACGGTGTCTTCAGTAGCCAAAGACGTTACACTTGACTTTATAAATACAAGTACTAAACAGTAAGAAAGTTTATAATAATATAGTGTGAATCAATATAAATGGTACTCACTATATGAGAACACTTGCTTCATAGCATCATTTCGTAGCAGGCCCACCATAGGGAGCATTGTACCCAATGTTGCTTTAACAAATGGCACTATACCAAACACATTGGCTGAAGCTAGAGCTCCCATGGTATGAAGAATTGTATAGTGAGGATATACACCTGGTTGGAACTGCCTGAGAAGGCCTTCCATCACCTATTGAGAGAAATATTACTGCAAATCAAATTCACGTTTAAGGTTTCTTTGGGGAACAGTGGACTTGAACACTAAACATACATAAGGTCCAGGTTTATGACAATATCCTATCTTGTGCTGGTGATGGTGTCCTATAATAGGTATCAGCTCTATCGATTGGGCCCAATTGAGTACATTCCATCTGAAGATGGAGACACAATCCAAGCTCCAAAAGGTTATGCATTTTAAATAAAAACAGTATGATGTATAATGTCCAGAAACATAACTGTACCAAGTGAAAGGAAAATATTCAATGAAGGTAGTTTAATACTGGGATTATTAACTTTGGTTCACTAAAACTGAATGTTAACAAGTGGTTCTGGGAAGAACAAATTGTCTATTGTGACAGTCCAAACCTGCTACAGTTCACCATGGGCACCAGGTGCTCCTTAGCCATTTCAGAAGGGTGATTGGTTTATTGGCAAGACCAATTTATTAGCATGTTATGACTTGTTTTTAACATTTGGACAGAAAACAAGTGCCTCTTTTTGTTTACATGCAGTTTGGATGGCCGGAAGGGGACAAGGTCACCACGGGAGTCAAGTCTGTAGTTTTTCGAATATGTGAATTTTGTTGTTGACATGTGTAGCTGTCATAACGTGTCTTTGGAAGGGTGCAGCTGGACCCTAAACTAAAGAAAACAACCGCTCTTCATGCGGGGTTCCAAGTTCTGTATCTTGCGAACTGTTTTATGCTCAAAGTTCATTATGTGATTGGCTTGCGCCAATTGCATGATGAATTCAGCTAGTTAAAATCAGCCAATAGGAAATCAATTCTTGCCTGGAAGAGAGCCGTCAATTCAAATCCTCCTTAGGGAATGAAGCAACGCTCCCGCGGGTTAGCAGTCTTCAAAAACTTGGAATTTTTAATTGATCAGAGGCAGACATCATTGGGCTGCGCTCCTATGGTTTCTCTAAATTCATCAGAATTTCACTTTGAATCATTAAAATCTGATAATAGTAAAGAGCCATATTACTCCGTGCTCGCAAAGAAGTTATAATATTTCACTTATGAATAAATAAACAGTTTTTGGACAGTGAAAATTGTGTTGTTGATTTAGAGCAGTGGCCTAACCTCAAGTGTGCAGTTTCTGGTTGCCTCAGTTATTACCACATGATCCTGATAGGAATCAAGTGGTCTACCGAAACCAGCACATAAATACAGGGAGGAGCGCAGAAACTTCCTTTTTGTGAAGATGCATTGTGAAGGGAGGGGAGGTCACAGAAAAGTGGGGATAGACTCGGCGAATGCAGCAGTCACGAAGTTTCTGTCTAATACCCCTCAGTAGGAAACATGAGGTGGATGAGTGAGCAGCGTGCGTTCTGTACTCACTTCAGAATTAAGCCCAGAGGTCCGGTTCCTGACTGGAAATCGATTGTTTTGTGGGTAGAGAACTTTAGGACAACCGGAAGTGTGCTGAAAAAATGATCAGGATGACAACGGACCGTTACGACCCCAGAAAATGTAGAGGCAGTTCGACAGTCGATTTTGAGATCTCCAAGACGCTCCGCTCACAAACATGCAGTTGCCCTAGACATATCCAATCGTTCAATGCGCCGAATTCTTCACGAACATCTTCATTTCCATCACTATAAGATGGTTATTGTGCAAGAATTGTCACCACGTGATTTCCAGAACCAAATAACAGCACGTGAAACGTTACTGGAAACTTTACCCCCTGACGCACTTGTTTTCTTTAAATGATGAGGCACATTTTCACCTATCTGGATATGTCAACAAGAAGAATATGCTCTATTGTAGTGGTAACAATCCCAGAGAGCTCCATGAGAGGCCACTTCACAGTGATAAGGTGACAGTATGGTGTGCGTTGTCAAGAGTTGGAGTTATTGGCCCTTATTTTTTTGAAGAAGACAATCATGCAGTTACTGTCAATTCACAGCGGTAAGTGGACATGATTAAAAACTTTTTCAAACCAGCTCTTGAAGAAATGCATCTAGGAAATGTCTGGTTCCAACAGGATGGTGCCACGACCCACACAGCCCGAGCTTCGATGACAGTTTTGAGGTCGAAGTTCCCCGGATGGCTCATCTCACATCGAGGTGACATCCCCTGGGCAGCACATTCACCTGCTCTAATGCCCTGTGATTTTTTTATGGGGATACCTCAAGGCAGAGGCTTTTAAAGATCCCCCCCCCCAAACCTGCTTGAGCTGAAGAATGTTATTCGGCAGGAAGTAGCCCAAATTCCGGTGCACATGTTGGAACGTGCAGAGGGGAACTTCAAAAACGGTTGCATCAGTGCATAGAGAACGGCAGCCACCACCTTCAACATATTTTCTTTAAAACTACATGATTTAAAACTTTAAAGTATGTTCTTTCATTAGCTAAACATAAATTTTGTCTATCAGCAATAATTTTTCTTTTATTCGCCTTCAAAAAAAAAAAAAAGAAGTTTCTGCGCCCCACCCTGTACAAGCAAGAAAGTGGGACAGTAACACTACTTTCCTTTGATATGACATGCATGGACTGCATAGAAAATGATGATACCAACAATATTTCATTGCTGCAGGAATATGGTTTACCAAGCATTTAACTTGCAATGGTGGAGGGATACATAGACAAACCCACACTCTCTCCTCTAATGCAACACAGACTGCATAGAAAATTACGCATACAACAATTAATTTCATTTCATGTATTCATTGCCAGAGGATCGTGTATAGAGCTGCTACCTAGCAATGATAAGGGGGATAAACATACAGACACACAGAATGATGGGAGGGATTTATGAAGTACTGAAATGGACTTAGGTGCCTTGACATACATACTAAGTTTCAAAAAGACTGGTTCAAGCATTCAAAAGCAGATTGTGGGTCATACACAGATAGGATGGACACTGGACACTACATAAGCCTGCTTTTATTTTGTCGAAATAAGGAAAGTAGACTAAAATAAAATGAGAGACAATCATAAACTGAGGAACATTATATGAGGATTTCAGTGCATCCTATTATCTTTCGCTGCTGATTCCTAAGATACAGGAAATATTGAAAGGAAGGCATTTTAATGACACTGATGCATCAGGAGTAATATGATGGCAGCTCTGAAAGTCATTCCACAAAACCAGTTCCAAAATTGTTTTGAAGATTGAACTAGGCACTGGCATCAGTGCATGGCCTTCCAAGGAGAGTACTATGAAGGCAACCACAGCGATATTCAGCAATGGGATATGTAGCAATTTACCGCGATGAGTCCGCGAACTTTATTGTCAGACCACATAATTATACAAAGCATGCTGGCAACAAACAGCCCAACATGATCAGTGCAATATTCAATAACTGATAACACTGCTGATATCATTAAAGAAACCTCCTACATACACAAAAATGCTGAAGTGTTTGTTTCATATTTCAGACATTATGTGCACAAATCTCTCAAGGAATGGCAAACCTGACTAACAATGGTTCTCTGTGGTTCCTTCATGCAAATGCTATGCTGGTATACCAAAATCTGCACCATTCCCACTTTGCCATTAAGCCATCATTCCATCTGATGATATTACAAACCATGACATATAATGAATGAATGCATAAGGCATGGTCCATAATAATGCAGCCCTTGCAGTGCAAACTTCAATGATCTATTATGCTTCCCCTTTTTGATTAACCTTTTATCCATCCAACACTTCCAATGAAATGTAGGACTTTGTTTATGGGGACGTCATAGTAGTCACTTGGTTCCATAAAAACTGGTCCAACCATAACATGTAAAAGGACTCATTAAAGTAAACAAGAAACAAATTCCAAACTGCTCCTCACACTGTAGTGAATAACATGATGGAACTAGAAAACACACACCTCAATGCAGTGAGCTTGTCCCAGAGCCACAAGAATACCTGATGTGGGCAACTGTTGGTCTGGCAGGTAGTCTGCAGTCTGAGTCATCTCTTCAACACTGAATTCTATCAACTGATGCACCACATCATCATCAATATCTTGAAAGCGTTCCTTACATATCTGCTCCATTGCTTGCAACAGTGCTATCAGATGTGATGCTGTAAGCTACAAAAAAACAATTTCCTAGATACTACTCAGTCTCAATAAATAACAAGTAACAATTTTATGCCAGAAATTGTAAGAGGTATGGCAAGTTAAAACAGTTCGGATTGTGGAAAAACAGAAAGCAAGCATGTACTTATACTGACACCATGACACATATGAATGCACAAATTTAATAAAGGAATTTCAAATCAAAATACTGTTTTGTCAGCAGAGAATATGATTAACTATTTTATTACTTTTAAATATAAAAGCCCACGTTCAAATAATTAACCCAGTTTTGCATGTAAGGATGGTGCAACATTAAAATTAAATAGAATACAGAATGTGTGTACAATATGGTGGTGTAAGATTTGAGGCTTTCACTATGAAGACTATGAAGAAAGCAGTCTTTTGGGATTTGGCACCGTGTATATGTGGTGTTAACCGACGTTTCGGAGGAACGTATCGNAATATGGCTGTGTGTTTCTTATGTTTTGTTTCCTCTCAGGATGTGTTTACACATGGCAGACCCTTGATACTTTCATGTGATAAGTGACTACACAATGAGTTTAGGTTAAAAATTATTCTATTTGACGTAGAGTATTATTATTATTGTAAGCAGTTTATAGTACAGCGCTGTTTTAACGCAGCCATACAACTGTTCACCAGTGCACTTGCAATTTTTGACCACTTTACAAATAGTGTCAGGAAACTCTGTGGCTGCTGCAGTGTCACCAGATGTAGTCACCTTCAATGGTAACTCCGCATAACCCACATCAGACCTTCCACATCCAGAGCCACCCTCCAGGGGCTTTAATGTCTTATCCCTGCTAAGTATACTGTTAAAATGAACTGGCTGGGCTGTCAAAATTACCGCATTTATAGGAATTCTTTCCCTACGCTTTTACAGGAACCATTGGTATAAACATTCATCTGTGGAACTCTTTTCAAAAAGTCTAGCCTTCCTCCTTTGCAACCCTATGTTTTCACCGATGAAATCTACAAACAAACATACTTTGTCTTCCAGTTTCATCCAAATATGTACTGTTCCTTCTAGAATTCCACACTCAAGAAATAAACAGAATTCCACACTCAAGAAATAAACTAACTTTTGATTGGCTATTCTTAACTCTTTCGATGATTTTTAATTTTCCAATGCATAAAATGCACGATTCAATTAGGAGGGAAGTACTGTACAATATTCTCATAGGTTTGAGGCACCCATGGAACTAGTTAGGCTGATTAAAATGTGTTTAAATGAAACATATAGGGAAGACCATATAGGCAAACATTTTTCTGATAATTTTCCTGCCTTGAATGATCTAAAACAAGGAGTTGCTTTATTGCCACTGATTTTCAACCTTGAAATATGACATTGACATTGACATGACATTGAATATGACATTACGAAGCTCCAAGAAAACCAGGTGGGACTGAAATTAATGGGATACGTCAGCTTCTGGTCTATGCTGATGATGTGAATCTACTAGGTGATAATATAGATACCATAAAGAAAAACATACATACTCGACTTGATGCTGGTCAGAAGGCTGGTCTAGAAGTAAACACGGAGAAAACTAATTACATGTTGCTGTCTCATGACCAGAATGCAAGGCAGAATCATGATGTTTTGAAAATGTGGCACAGTTCAGATAGTTGGGAACGACTATAACAAATCAAAACCTGATTCAGGAGGAAATTAAGAAAAGACTGAATTCAGGTAGTGATTGCTACCATTCAGTCCAGAACCTTGTCTTCTCGTCTGCTATCCCAGAACATAAAAATTAGAATATATGAAACTATAATTTTGTCTGTGGTTCTGTATACATGAAACTTGGTCTCTGACATTAAGGTAGGAACACAGATTGAGAGTGTCTGAGAACAGGGTGTTGAGAATATTTGGACCAAAGAGAGAGGAAGTGACAGGAGGTTGAAGAAAACTACATAATGAGAATCTTCATAACTTGTACTCTTCGCCAAGTACAATTAGAATGATCAAGTCAAGGAGGATGAAATGGGCAGGACATGTAGCCCAAATGAGGGAGAAGAGGAATGACTACTGGATACTGGTGAGAAAGCCAGAAGGAAAGAGATGGCTAGGAAGACCAAGATGTAGGTGGGTGTATAATATTAAAATAGATCTTAGAGAGACAGGCTGGGATGGGATGGATTGGACTGATGCAGCTCAGGGTAGTGACCAATAGAGTGCTCTGCTGAACACGATAATGAACTTTTGGGTTCCATAAAATGCTGAGAAGTTCTTGAGTGCCTGCACAATTGGCAGGGATGGTATGGTTTGGGCTGATGTGGCTCACGATAGGGACCAGTGGAGGACACTGGTGAACATGGTAATGAACCTTGGGTTCCATAAAATGCTGAGAAGTTCTTGAGTGGCTGCACAACTGGCAGCATCTCAAGAAGGGCTCAGCTCCAAGAGTGTCATTAGTAAAGTAGTACTCAATATACGAACAGTACAATGGGGTAGTGTTGGGGACTTAGCGGCTCAGCAGGATTTCCAACCACCTGTTGGGAGGTAAATGGGGTGCTCGTTAAATTTTATGACTTGAACAGAATTATTCAAAGGTCAGAGAAATCACACAGTATATTCAGAGTACTACTGACTCTACCCTCTGTATGTGTACACAAAATCAATTAATGTTGCAATACAATATTATACTCTAAACAAAACATATATGATCATATTGGGAGGCATGATCAAAAACCATGACATATCCAAATCCATGGTATAATGACAGCCTATGTAGTTAAACTAACAGCAACACAGATGCTTGCACTAACCAAGAGAAAACATATTTTTCTCATATTTATGCATATTTACATATTTCTTAAAAATTCAAATTTATAATAGGATAAGCTGGTTAAGATTAGTTTCACGTAACATTACATTTTGTCTGTAGTGGACTGAATTGGGGCATGAAGTAGAGTAGTTGGTTGAGGCACTATGCTACAAGCTGGAAGGTCACAAGTTCAAGTCCCAATGAGGTCATTGGATTCTTTTCAATTGACCTAATCCTTCCGGCCACACTATGGCCCTGGGGTCGACTCAGCTTCTAACATAACTGAGTACCAGGAATTAATTAAATAATTTTCCTGGGAAGTAAAGAACGGCCTTGCCGCCATCTTTGAACCGATTGTCTAGATAATGTGGGACAATCAACGTCTCACAACCCCATGGGCCTTCATAGCCTGTTACAGGGGTAGCTTTACTTTTCTTTTACTTTACTGTAGTGGACTAAGTGCAAATAAAACATGGACTGTGCAAGAAGTTTGATGGTTCATGACACTGTGTGGGTACATGCTAAAAAAGCTCCAATACATGTTCATCATATTGTAAATTTATTCCTCAAACACATAGAAACATCAGCTTTTTACCACAAGATTATGAATGCTCCTAATGTTCTTCTCCCTCTTATCTAAATATATGGCTAGTCATGATTAAAGAGAATAGTCAAGATGTTTAAAAATACTGAAGAAACACTGATTTGTTGATTCTCACCCATTCTTCAATAAATCCCTAAGAACAAGTTCAATCCTGCTAGACTTACTGCATGACTGATAAACCTGTGCAGTCCCATTAACATATTCTTTACCTTGGGATTTCTCATTCGATATGCAACCATATCTTTTAGCACAACACTTGCATGTTTCTGTGCAATTCTCCGTAATGAAGTGATGACAACTTCACGCACTGCATGATCTCTGTCAGCAGCAGCTTCAATAAGTGTACCAACAATCACTAAAATTATCAGGGAAAACAATGTTATCCAACTTGTGTGTGCATTGTATTCTACACAAATTTAAAATATTTAGAAAATGTTTGAGCCTCAACCTCTCACAAGCCTATGGGCCTCCACAGCCTGTTACAGGGATAACTTTACTTTTTTTTTATATGCAGGTAGCATGAAACCTATGAAAAGTCCTCATGTAACACAACCGTCAGAAAGTAAAAAACAGGAAAGAAACATCATACATACTTATATGTCAAATTCCAATCATTTATTTGTATAATTAATGTTATACAATCACCAAATTTATCTCTAAGTATAAGACAGTAAAGTACTTTTGGGTTAATTTCCTTATTATGTGTTGTTCACAAATTAAAAAAGAAGTTCGGGAAAGAACTTACCGCCTACTTTCCTCTCAGTACAATCTGAGTATCTGATATGACAAAGAGAGAAACTTTATGCATAATGAAGTCACTAAAACAATAAAATTTGACAAGCTGCAGTGTTGGTATTACAAATGGGGAGGGATTTACGAAGTATGCTTGTGAGATGGTCTCAGATGGCATACCAAGTTTCTTGACAATTGGTTGAAGCATTCAAGCAATAGTAAGGTTATTGTAAGATATATGATATAACTCCGTCCTAAGTGCAAACTATATTTATAGGTCTTTCATTTTGTTCTTCCTTATACACTACATGTTTCGGCCCCAAACGGCCATCATCAGGTGTATACACTCACGTATCTGTTACACTGCACTTATTTATAACATTTAAAATTTAAAAACATAGATCTTCCTGATTAGCACTTATAAAATCTTTGGTTCTAATTTTAAATCCTTTAAAAAATTTTTTTCTAAGTTTTAAAATTTAAAAATGTCAGGGTTACTTGCCCTATGTCTATAGTGCTGCTGCGGCTTCTTCTTGTTTCTAGTACTAGACCCAGTTTCTAGTTTCCAGACCTATGTTTCTAAATTTTAAATGTTATAAATAAGTGCAGTGTAACAGATACGTGAGTGTATACACCTGATGATGGCCGTTTGGGGCCGAAACATGTAGTGTATAGAGAAGAACAAAACGAAAGACCTATAAATATAGTTTGAACTTAGGACGGAGTTATATCATATATCGTATAAAGTGCTGCAGGATACTTAAATATAATATTAAGGTTATTACCTCAACAATCTGAGAGAATGCAATGTTGGTATTACTGATGGAAGAGGATCGCGAAGCATGCTGATGAGATGGCCTCAAATGGCATGCGACACATACCAAGTTTCATAAAGACAGCATCATAGGGCCAGGACAGTAATCTCATAAGACTACATGACTACTTTAATAGTTTTCAAAGGAAGAAAAGTCGGCTAAAAAGCACATCTTATGTGCAAGTCATGTTTTTTTGCAAACTAGTATCAATGACTAAACCACTGGATATCTTTTTTATTCAGTGTGGGAGACTTCCACTAAAAGCTGTGAGACCATTCCAAATTTCAGCCACATAAACCCACAATAAAGTCTACTTTATACTAGGCCATAAGTGAACCCTACCATCACAAACTATTAACCAAATTTTGGTAGAATTCAACAAAAGAGATCGCCACCTAACACTATTGGCCATTCTGACCAACCACAAAGCCAACTTTACATAAAGCCATAAACTGACTTTTCCACCTATCCCAGAAACTATTTCACAGATTTTGCTGAAATCTGATATTCTAATTTATTATACTGTTGGAATATGAATTTAGCTAATTTTATTTAATCCACTTTGTCCTTTCTGCAATTTTATTTAAAAACAAGATGCAAGTAAGCTTAATAAACTACATAAAATTCCAGCAGGAGTTTTTGGAATGTCCAAGTGAAACCCATTTGGTGATTGTTCAGGGCAAAGGAGTAGAGATCATTACAAATAGTTCCCACTGGCACTGACAAAAGCATATCACTGACGCACCAGACAATGGGTCCCCTGCCCACTTCATGCTAGTTCCTTGCTTGGCTTACTCTTCAATCAGGAAGATGGAGGAGACATGTCCCTCCAATATGCTGCTTGACTTTCAATGGACTACACAGTATTATGTCTTGGAAAACACTTTTCATACCCGTGACTGTGAGAACCTCAGACCCTACAACTCAGTGCTCCCCTTTAGACCCAAAGATTCAAAACACATTACATTTACATTGTTGACTGGTCTTAACTTCATTCATAACAGTCACATACCAGTAAAAAGGGATTTCTCTTTTCATTAAGCTGTGGACAACAAACCATTCATACCCCTGAGGAACATTACTGATAAACAATGCAGAAAGTACAAAGTGTGCCTAACATACTTATTTTAGAAACACAAGAATGAAACGTGTGTTTTCATTCTGAGAAAAAATGGTTGGATGATTCTTCCAAGAGTTAATGTTGCATCAACAACAACTACTGGAAACTACCAACATCATGATCTTCAATCTTCGTGGGCAGACACAAGGAGCAGGCACATTTTGTTAAAGGCAACCAGAAAGGAGTAAACTTCAGTTGCTGTCCATGTATACTGTAAGTCTTCATTAATAAAATATATGAGGGGGAGGAGGAAGGAGCTGGGATAGCATAGTTAGCATAGCGACTGGCTACAGCTTGGACAGATTAAGGGATTGACTTCTAGTCCTGGTAGGAGCACGATTACATACTAATGGTGGGCAAATATGTTATCAGACATTCATCACTCTCTGTAGTTACTGTGTATTAACACCATCTTGAACATGCACTGTAATAGGCGACGTTAACCTCTAAACGCTGGACTAGAAAAAGTTACAGCAACAATCATATGAAAACATATTTCCGCGAATACTTCATGCCTACGAACATACAAATACTTGCCTTGAATATGGAAATCCTTTGCACGTGAATCGGTCATGTTTAATGCCTATTTTCACCTGAAAATTATAGCAAATACTTCTTAAACAGTAAAGTATTAAGTGTCACCTGTTATTTGTTTCAACTACGAAAAACCGTACGAATCTAATAATACAACAGTCCTATTGTGAAACCAGTTCACACACTCCATCTACACTCGGCAAGTGCCACTTCACAATTTTACTTTATTATAACTTACAATTACATAACATTATGCACTTCATGACAAGATAATCACATGATTATTACGCACTAAAACGAACCCCACCGTATCCTCAACACGCAATAAATATCGAACCTCCTAACTCAACCGTCTACCTCCATGCCACTCCATGTTCTCCATGTGTTGAAGTTACTGGTTGGCAGGGGTTGCCGCCGTTGCTGCAGTTTCAGCAAGTTCAGCAAGTAGTGCAGGCCGGCAATCAGTGCTGATCGGTGCTGATTGTCGATAATTTACGGAGAGAACTACTAAAAATCACGCTTTGCAGCACCAAAATGTGTAAAGTGTAATTACTTGAACAAAATACATGCAAGTAATAATAATTACTCACGAAGTCTTGCAACATAAGACCCCAGCCGGTAAGAAAGTAAAACTACTCCCCAACTCAACGGACTAATGAATAAGTTTGCATTACTAAGCTATTCTTTTTGTCTTATTAATGCAATGTTCGTATATGGCCGGGTAGTTATTGTAACATTATATTTCATTTACTTCTCATTATCGAAACATGTCTCGGCCTTACATGGCCACCCTCCGGTATACCTCATGTCATAAGTCGTTTCTTTTGAGGGAAAGTCCGGTTAAAATTAAAAATTTGGCATCCATTGGTGAGTAAACCAATAATGAAATAACATGCGACATATGACATACCTCAGAATGGCCATTTAAATCTGGAACATATTAATCACTCAGTCATGGAGCTGAGCCATTACTGAGATGGTGCCAATTGTGCAGCTACTCAAGCACTTCCCAGCATTTTATGGAACCCGAAGGTTCATTACCGTGTTCATAAGAGCCTTACACTGCTCTGTAACCCGAGCCAGACCAATCCAATCCATCCCATCCTATCTAGGATCCATTTTAATATTGTCCACCCACCTACATCTTGGTCTTCCAGTCGTTCCTTCCATCTGGCTTTCCCACCAATATCCTATATGCATTTCTCCTCTCCCCCATTCGTGCTACATGGCCTGAACATATTAATAAATATTAATAATGAAAACAGGTGTCTTTGTCAGCATTTACAAGCACAGTAATGGTGTGACATTTTGAGGTTAGGTCCAAGAAATTGTACTAGTGATTAAGATCTAAAAGTTTGTGACAGTGCTATACACTGTTAGTACAAATATTATGTTTCTGGACATTATCCATCATCCTGTTTTTATCTAAAATGCCATACTGTTTATATTTCAATGAACAACGTTTCAGAGACTGGATTCTGTCTCCATCTTCAGGTAAAACCTACTCAGTTGGAAACAATCGATAGAGCTAGTCCTTATCTCCAGACACCTGTACCAAGATAGGAGATACAAGCCAAGCACAGCACAAACAATCTGCGAGAGCTAAGGCAAAACATTAAAATATTACAAAACTCTACACGAGGCCTTCCACCAGATAACTATCAAGACAATTCATAATTTGAAAGATGAAATTCTCCATATGGCACCAATACAAGAAAAACAAATTTTCCCACTCAATCTACACTGAGCAGAGTTGTAGTTTTTTTACTTCTGCTGTGATAACAGGAATGCAGATGGGAGAGATGTCCACACTGGGTTGACTGATCAGATGGTCTATCAGAAACATGGGCAGATTTCTTGTATTTCCTGTATGTGGTGTTTGGTTCAATCTGCAAGACCTTCACTTCATTCCAACATATTTTATGACCTCCTTTGTATGCATATTTGGCAAATTTTTGTTTTTCAAGCAGACCCTGTGTTAGGCTATATTTGTGCTCCTTAATGTGTACTTCTAAACGTCTGCTTGTTTCACTGATGTATCATCTGCCACAATCATGTGGGATGCTGTACACACATACTGCTTCATCTGTTTGGCATTTCTAATTGGTCCAGTTTTCATCAATGTCCCACAGTGTGCGTTTAATTTTGAAAATTGTATGCAAGTAAGGTGGTTGGTCTAGAAGTAAACACAAAGAAAACTAAGTATATGTTTCTGTCTCATGAACAAAAGTAAGGGCAAAATCATGACATAATGATAGAAAACAGATGTTTTGAAAATGTGGCACAGTTCAGATATTTGGGAACAACAATAACAAACCAAAACCTGATTCAGGAGGAAATTAAGAGGAGGTTGAACTCGAGGTAATGCTTGCTACCATTCAGTCCAGAATCTTTTGTCTTCTCATCTGCTGTCCAAAATCATAAAAATTAGAATATACAAAACTATAATTTTGCCTGTGGTTCTGTATGAGTGTGAAACTTGGTCTCTGACATTAAGGGAGGAACATAGACTGAGGGTGTTGAGAAGAATATTTGGACCGAACAGGGATGAAGTGACAGTAGGTTGGAGAAAACTGCATAATGAGGAGCTTAATAACTTGTACTCTTCTCCGAGTATAATTAGAATGATCAAGTCGAGGAGGATGAGGTGGGCTTGGCATGTAGCATGAATGGGGGAAAAAGGAATGCATATAGGATATTGGTGGGAAAGCCAGAAGGAAAGAGACCACTGGGAAGACCAAGGCATAGGTGGATGGACAATCTTAAAATGGGTCTGAGAGAGATAGGATGGGATGGTATTAATTGGATTGATCTGGCTCAGAATAGGGGCCAGTGGAGGGCTCTTGTGAACACGGTAATGAACCTTCAGGATCCGTAAAATGCTAGGAAATTCTCCCCAAGAAGGGCTCAGCTCCATAAGTAAGTAAGTAAGTATGAATGAATGAATGAATGTATAAGGGGTGGGCCTTCTCAGCCCTTGCACTGTGACCTACAGTGATCTACTGTGCTTCCCCTTTTGATTATCCCCTCAGCAATCCTAAACTTCAAATGAAACACAGAATTTTGTACATGGGGGTGTCAAAATAGTCACTTGGTTCCATAAAGTACTGACCCAAGTGACGTAATCTTAAATAAGCTAAGGCCTCACATGCACACAGGATAGGTGTGGCTGTTTCATTTTCTTCTTGACACCTCTCACAAGTGGAACTATTACTGGGACTGACAGAGAGAGAGGTGCCTACAAGAACATGAATCAGCCACACACATCTTATGTGATTGTGAGGCTATAGCTTATTTATATTGCCACCTGGGTGAATTCTTCATGGAACAAAGTGACTTTTATGATGCCCCCATAAACAGAGTCCTACATTTCACTCAAAGTGTAGGATTAATAAAGGGTTAATCCAAAGGGGAAGCACAATAGACCATTGAAGGTCGCAGTGTTAGGGACAGTTTTATGGCTCTCCACTCATACTCATAGTCCCAGTTTGAAGGTGTGTCCTTCAAGGTGATAGTGTCCTGTAAGTAGTTCCACCACCCATCATAGCTGGTTCCTGTTTAACTTCAACAGTTTCTTCGCTCTTTTAGGAGAGGGTCCTCGTATGAGTCCCTTTGCTTGCCCGAGTCCAGTCAAGGATCCCAGTATTTCTTGTGCTTCATATTTGTCCAGTCCGATTGCCTTTCTGGCAACTCCTATAGAGATGCCACAGGCTGGCTCAGGTCCTATGAATGGATGTTCAGCTCCAATCATAGCCAACTGATCTCCTGTTTTGTTTCCAGCAACATCCTCATGCCCTGGCACCCATATCAGTTGTACCGTTATGTTTGGCCAGTTCCATGAGGGTTTGGTGGCAATCCCAGACCAATTTTGAGTCGATCTGGTTTTTGTCAAGTGCTTTAAGTGCAGCATGGCTGTCAGATAGAATCTAGATGTTCCTATTTCTGTAGTTCCTAATTAAATTCTCCATAATACATGCCTTTATGGCACATACGAAGGATGTTCCATATATAATTCCTCCTATTTTTTCTGTTAATATGTAACATGTGAGCTGGATGTTGGTGGTGTTGTAGTAAAGGCTGAACCTTCCCGCCAATGTACTGTTAGTTTGGTTGTCATGCGACAGATAGCAGCAACAGAGCAGTCTACCAAAATGACGTCTGACATAGAAGTGCGTACAAAACAGATGTGTTACTGAATTTCTCACAGCCGAACAAATTGCACCCATTGACATCCATCAACGTTTGCTAAAGGTGTACGGAGACGATACAGTGGATATCAGCACAGTGAGGCGGTGGGTAGTGCGTTTCAACAGTGGCGAAAGTGAAGTGAATGGCAAGCCACGCCCTGGGCATCTGTGCTCAGCTCCCACTCCTCACACTGCAC